CTCACACTGGCTGCCCATAGTCAGGATTTCTTAACCCAATCCAAATCTGACTGAGTTAGAGAGGAGGAGCATCATTTTGACTATCTGAGTGAGATAGCTGTAGTTCAACAGTGGTCCAAATCTTCATTTCGCCTTCAATCATCACCCACTATCAATTTTAGTCTACCAAACCACTAATAGTCAAAATGATTATTTCTGTTTATCAGAAAGTAAGAAACTGAGAAAGTATTCATATGATGATTGTCTACTGAAACATTGCTCACTTCATAAGATAGTTAATATTCTGTGGAAATACTGTAAGTAATTCTGAGGTCAGATGTCATGTATTCAGAAATAATGAAAGTCTTAACTTGTTAGAAAAGTAGTATTGAGAATGCAACTTCAATAATTTCCACCTGGAACTATAGTAGTTGTCAAGTCTTTACCGTTTACCAGCTAACTAAGCAAAACAATACTGAATTTAAATGGATTTCCAGATGTGTTGTGAATCAACTCAAAACTTCGTATACACCTGAAGTAGTTCTAATTGCCACACTTTCAAAAATGTAAGGAAAGAGAAAGAATTGAAAAACTGAGGTTACTCAAGACATGAACTTTAGACGTGAAAAAGTGAATGTATCTGCTTCAGCCGTGTGATAAAGAATCATCAACCAGTGATTTTTACTGTCCCACGGACCTCAACCAGACAGTCTATACCTTCGAACACAGCTCAGACCAATAGTCAGTGAATTCATCCACTTGTCTGGCTAATCCAACTTCCCTTATCACTACACATCGAGATTAGTGGCTGTAGCTCAGTATGCATAACATATCGCTAAGCTATGTCAGTCGATGAAGACACAATCTCATCAACCAATTTGCTTACCTTACCTAGTATCCTTCATATGCTAGCAATATTGCGTAGATATATATGAAACATCAGTAACAGTAACAAAGAGGTTGCTAAAAGATAATATGACACTATGGAATTGAGAATGTTTATGAAAAGTTGATATTCCCCGGTGGATCATATCTTCCATGGTCGTATTTCAGAAATCATGCAACTTAGTATAGTTCGAGGTTTTGTTAAATAGTCCTCAAAATCGAAGCTAATGACAGTTTCTTATTTTAACTGTTATCGCAAAATAACATGACAATAGTGAACTACTCTTTGAATGGTATTTGACTGGACTGTTTCTCAGATAACAACCTATGCTGCAGTTTCTTATGTCTTCCTTTCATGTTTGTATTATATTATACTACGGTTACATTCCACTCATGACCATTATCTATCAGTTGCTGATTTCTGGGTGTCTCAGTAAAGTCCAGTATTTTCTTCTTGTAGATGTACTAGTCTCCTAGTGAATGACTTTTTTTCCAACTGATATTCAATCTCACCCATATCTTATAACATGGATATGGCATAGTTTTGTATGCCATAGTTTATTATTTCTTTTTCCCTTGGGTTCCTTGCGGAATATACGGCTTCACTAACACGCCTCCATTGCATTCTCTTCCCTACAGTCTTTTCAACCTGACACCACAACTGCCAACAAGCTTTCATTTCTTCTTCACATCATCTCCTCAATATCACCCTCACCTCACACACTCAACACATCGTTTCCCCTTCAGTTGGATTCCACTCGACGGCCTGACCTGGATTGCGATGTCACCAATCAGACTTCTCAGTGTATGACCAATCCATCTCCACTCTCTTCTTCTGCATATTTGTTGGGTGATACCTCCTGCATTGGTTGGTTGGTCAGTTCGTTGCCTTCCAGCCAGAGTTCCTTGTTGCTTATTCTTCCTCGCCATCTCATCTGATCTTCAGTATCCAGCCAGTGTAAGTGGCAGCTGTTGATGAATGTCTGCAGTTTGTTGGGAGTGCTTTCTGTGACGCGGCAACTCTCTCAACCATCACAAAGAAGCACTGACTTGAATGAATTGATGTTGACAATCCGGGTCTTGTTCTTTATGCTGAGTGGAGTGCAGTAGATCTCCACATTGATTTCAACTTAGCGAAAGCTTGTCTTTCTGTCTTTCCGATGCTGGCTGGCTTGTTTTGACATCGTCACCTGTGCCTGTGCCACTGCCTGTAGTTGAAATGATGCTGCTTACGTGGGTACGTAGGTGGAAGAGATAACTTCATTTAGGTTTCTCCTATTAGTAGTGATTGGTGCGTCTTTTTGCTGTTGTTGTTGGTTGAGTATCTTCATCACCAGTGTCTCCTCTTCGTTCACCTGAGGGAAGTCCTGTTTTCGCTGCCTCGCCTCTTCTGTCAACTTGTTAGTTTTTGCCTGTACATCTTCGAGTTTGTACAACATTAGACTCAAATCATCGGCGAAATATGTTTGAAAAGTGAACGCTTTGTAGGATGTATATAAGTAGCTTCATAGCAGCACATAAATTTGTAGACACACACTGAAATTCAAGTATCATCCATTCTATGTACATTTCGTATAAATCGGTTTGTGAAGAGAACCACCTGGTCTCCATTCTCCAACAGGACACCGTGAAAATGGAATTCTGAGTTCTCTCCAAATTCTAATTTGAAACTGATAGATCTATGATAGTCTAGGTTTGAGATAAAGTAATCAATCAGCAGCAGTTCAAATGGTGACCCCATATCAACCCCATCCTTTTGCCTATATTAGATTATTGTTAAATTTGAACTGCACATTGAAAGTACATCTTAGAAGTTATTCCTTTAGGATACTCACGTGAAAATTATCATCTTCGATGAAATCACATAGAAAACAGATAGATTCCGTGACGAATCATACGCTTGTTTGATATATTGACCTTATTAGTTGAGTCAACAAAGTCGAAGGAATCCAATAAACTATGCATATCTAGCTGTTTTCTTATTGGTTAAAGGACATCCGACAACCACTTGCCAACAGAATGGTAATATCAATTGTTCATATCCAAAATGAACACAAATGAAGATCTTCTTTGTACACTTTTGGGAGACCATATAAAGGAGAAGTAACAGAATCAGAGGGTTGCAAATACTCGACTATTTCCAGGCTGATAATAAATTCATTGTTATTTTTCTTCAGAATTTGGGTAAGTTTTCCTTCAGTTTGCTCAGTGGTGTAGTTTTACTTAATGATAAATGATTTTAAAGTTTTGGAAAATGATATTGTTGAAATGGAAAGAATTTTCTTTGTTAACTTATCCCTTCTTTTCTCTATAACTTAATGGGTATATTTTCTCATCTAAGGTGAAATCATCTACAGTAGGCTGTTTTTTGACTTCATCTGGTATTTCTTAAACTCAGTGATATTTCAACTAAAAAAAAGTAGGAAAAACAAATCAAATGAGATAAAAATTTGTAAAAGATTTATAAATTTAGTATTGTTTGTTAAACTATGGCGTGGAGTAAGTCAAGGCCACAGCCTACTATCACCAATGGGCTTCCTGATTGTGGTGGACTGGATCACGTGAAGAGCTAGATGATGGGCATACCCTGTTTGACGATGTAAAGAGGAAGATTTGGATTTTACCGATGATGATGATGATTTATGTCTAATGTCTCGTCACACAAACTCGAAGATGTACAGGCAAAAACTAACAAGTTGACAGAAGAGGCGAGGCAGCGAAAACAGGACTTCCCTCAGGTGAACGAAGAGGAGACACTGGTGATGAAGATACTCAACCAACAACAACAGCAAAAAGACGCACCAATCACCACTAATAGGAGAAACCTAAATGAAGTTGTCTGTTCCACCTACGTACCCACGTAAACAGCATCATTTCAACTACAGGCGGCGGCACACGCACATCTGTTCATCTGTTCTAACTATCTGGATTCACCCATTTATGTAGAGTTTCGACTGTCAGTCTTTCTTAATATGACGCAAAACTTTGTTTGTAGAACCGTAGTGCGGTCTAAAAGAATTTTATATCCTATGTCTATAGAGTGTAGTGTAATCGCCGACTTGTTTTCTGGCTTCTTAACGTCTACTGAAATTTTCGGAATCTGCTTTAGGTAGAGTCTGTGCTCCTTCACTCTCACATTTATCTACTTGCCTACTTCCCTAACATATTCCACAGTACAATCCGTGCATCTAATCTCATAAACTCATTTGTCTTGATTTTTTGTTTAGGTACTACATCTTTAACTTTCATTGAGTTGAACGAAAGTAGACTCTTATGTCATGTTTCTTCCTATCTCTTTAAGGTCTGCTTAAGATATGGGATTATCGCGGTGTTTATCCAGTTTGTTGAAGAGAGTTTCGGTACATTCCTAATTTCGCTTTTAAAACGTTTTTGTTTTACAAAATCTTTAGGAATAATTTTTTGCTTCGAGTGTGTGGCTAACCCACTTTAACTCCTCTTCCCCTCTTTATCCTCTTTCGTTGTAACAAGACGGTTAGCCTTGTTGATCAGATTCTGGTAATCTAAGTATCTCTCGGAATGTGCTGTATATTATAATGCTGTCATTCCACCATACAGTATAGAAAGATTAATTTGGATAGGTTGTATTGAAGTTGTTTGATGAAAGTACTACTTTCATACTCATCATTTATATGACGGGAGAGTTCATCCAGACAACTGTGTATAATGATGACAAATGTATCGTCTATGTGCCTTAACCAAATTCTTGAAGGTGTAGAACATTCTGTTATTGCAGAAATCATTCTTTTTATGAAGGTATATAGGAGGAATAATTTGATAAGCAGTGACAAACTATCCAAGTATGGAGCTGTGGTTCATTGTCTTAGCGATTTACCTTTCAACCAATATGTCACTGGACTGTACATCTCTTCAGCAAGGTTGTATCATGCTAGCCCATCACACAATAGGTATAGTTCATTGTCTACTGCAATGTAGGCATGTGTATATGGTTTGTGAGTTGTTTTCGATGTCTATATGAGGACGATATCAGTTGCAATCTGATTATCAATCTGTGTACATAATAGATTATCCAATGTAGTATATATTGTTGTATGTGATTACTTTATACACTGATTCTGTTGTTGTTGTTGTTGACATAATTCCTTGGATATATGTAGGTGATAAATGATCCATCTGGGAATGGTTTTATTGAAAATTATCTCGCTCCAAATGATGATCCTCAAATTGAATTGATAACATATACACGGACATCGGAACAAGATGAATTACTTGGCCTACAGCCTCAACCACCAATAGATTTAATCAATAAATTGTCTGTACCTGAAACAATTGTTGAAGTAAGTTATGAGAATTGTATAGGATTCACTTTATCCAGTACTGTGAACACATACACATACACACACACACACACATTATCATACATTTGTCAAGTTTATTCTCTTCCACATTACACCAATTTTTCATGCTGATTTCAGGAGGCGACTGTTTTGAATGAACCTGTGAAACCTATTGAAAAAGATGAAGTTATGTCTTTGTCTACCAATTGTCCATCATGTAATAGTCCAATTGAAAACAAAATGAAAATTGTCGGTAAGTATAATAAATATCAAGTTATTCTTCTAGGTAATAGTATTATTATTATTATTATTTGTCGCTTGGGTTCTTAGTGGAACATAGAGCTTCACTAACACGCCTGTTCTCTCCAGTCTTTTCAACCTGGCTCCATGACTCCCCATAAGCTTTCATTTCTTCCTCCATGTCATCCTCGCCTAGACGCCCAACTCGTTGTCTCCCCTTTGGGTTCCACTCGACCGGTTGGTCTGGTGTGTGATGTCCCCAATCAGCCTTCTCAGTGTATGCCCAATCTATCTCCATTTTCTTCTGTTGGGTGATAGGTTCTTGGTTGGTTCGTTCCCAGAGTTCCTTGTTGTTTATTCTTATTATTGTGGCCATCTGATCTGATCTTCAGTATCGAGCCAGTGTAGGTGACAGCTGTTGATGATGCATGTCAGTAGTTTGTCGGAAGTGGTTTCCGCGACAAGCCAAGTTTCTGAACCATCATACAGCACGACTGAATTGACTTAAGTGGTGTTGAAAATCCTGATGTTATTCTTTGTACTGAATGCAGTAGATCTGCACACTGATTTCAAATTGATGGAAGCCCATTTGCTGTCTTTCTGATGCTGGTTTTGACATCCACTTCTGTGCGTGTGCCGCCTGCAGTTGCAATGATGCTGCTTAGGTGGGTAGGTAGGTGAAAGAGTGTACTTTCTTCATGTTTCTCCCCTTAGACGGTGGTTGGTGCCTCTTTTTGTTGTTGTTGTTGTTGTTGCTTGGGTATCTTCATCACATGTGTCTTCTCTGCTTTCACTTGAAGTCCTGTTTTCACTGCCTCGCCTCCTCTGTCAACTTGTTGGTTTTCGCCAGTAGATCTTCTAGTTTGTGTGACATTAGACACAAATCATAGGCGAAATCCGAATCTTCCAGGCTCTTTTCATCGGTCCAGTCAGTGTACGCCCGTCTTCTCGCTCCTCACGGCTGGGTCATTTTTTTAGGGTTAAATAAGAAAATTTTATGGTCCAATTTTTGCTTGTTGTATAGAGAAATTTAGTCACAACGAATAAGAATTTGTTGGTTGTCGAATACCGACATACTTTGAAGTGTAAATTGACATTACGTTGTGGTTAAGCAGCTGCTGAAGTCTCCGAACGGCTTAAAATTGGCCATAAGGGGCCAGATGTGTATACACTCTCTATCATCTTCGAAGATCTGAACACTTTCATTACTCTTCATGTGTCTAGTCTCCCTCTTTCTGCGTCATTTTACTGGTTTTATGGAAAGTTTCCATGTGAATTGATGATAAATAGTTGTGTTCTCCAGGGATGTCCACGGTCACTGTTCCTTCTCACCCTCGTAATAGATACAGTACTGGATATAACCTTAGGTACGTCTTACTTCACAGGGATTAACCTATTCCCCGGAAGCCATTTGTTGTGGTAGGTGAAAACGCTGACAAACTGCAGGATCTTCTGAAGTCACGCGTTTGGCGGAAATCTGAGTATGTTTGGCTTATGTGAGACTGGTCTGCTCGTAGTCTAATGATAGGGAGTGAAGTGGTAGAATATGTCAACCTCCTCATTTGCCTGGAAGTTGCATCAGTCCTAACAGAGTGGTTGTTGAAGAAATCTCAGCTTGGATACGGAAGGCTCGTTTGGCATTTGCCAACTTGTTTCACCTGTGATACTAATTGACGAGATATATCCGACTATCCACCAAAGTATGAATGTACTGCTTTGGAGTCCGTTTTGTCTTATTGTATGGCTGTGTCACATTTCGTTTAAAAGTAGCATTTCTGGAGTTTGCTGGAATCCTCGTGTGAGCAATGTTGACGTTAGGCGAAACAGGTAAGTCGATTTATGAGGCTGTAAACATTAGTTGAGTGAGATGGCTTGGACATGTACTGCATATGTCCGATCACCGCACACCTCGGTGTGTCATGCTGATAGGAAGTAGTTGACCTACAATGAAAAGGGTTCTGGTTGTCCAGACCAAGACACGACACTAGTCGATAAAGTCTCTTACTGTTGGTCTGAGCTATATGGGGAGATAGACTCTACTTAGGATTCCTGATACGTTGGGAATCAGTGATTGAGAACTGACTCTTGGTAACATGGATGAAAATCGGTCACAATAATGTGGATGTATCACTCTTTGACGTCTTCTAAAGCTACAAATTGTATATTCTCTCATACAACTTTGTCTACTTTGGTATCACTTTTATTTAATCAATCTGTATTCTGTGTACTACTGTGAAATGTGATTAGTTGAACGGATTCACCATTCTATCAGTACTGATCTCGTTTGAATGAGAATACAGACGATATTAGGTATGATTGGAAAGATTTCAGAATTTCTCCTAGATCTAATGAATACTATGAACTTAAGTGAGTATTTAAAAATCGTAGGATGTGAATGACGTCTAATGTATCATTAACATGTAGGTTAGTAACTAAAGAGTATACATCAAAATATGACATTATTTCATATTTTTTCAATTTAAGATGAAATAATCATGTTCAAGGAATTCAGACAACATCTTTATTACATAAGATTTTATGATTTATATTTTGCTAAGTTGAACGTCGATGACTTGGTAAAAGTTACAACTTATCTAAGGGGTATATTTATCTTGGAAATATTTGGCACTCCATAGAATCTGCAATGGTTTTAACGTTTTGATGTTAATGAGAATCCTAGAGAAGTACCTAACTTGTACTAGTTTCAGATTTTGACTTGTTGAGCATGGCTTGTAACTTTATATCATTTATCCTTTGGTAAACACCAGTAATAAAATGTTTCCTTACTCTGTTTTCACAATTGCTTGCGTTATTATCATTAAGAAATTTCACTTATCTGCTCTAGTGATGTCTCTGTGGTAAAACGTAATCCCATATATGAGATTTGTTGATTTAATTTAACCAGGATTCAGTGAATGGTCCAGTGTTATTTATGTGATGTCATCTTTAATAATGGAAACGATGTAATTACAAAGCCTTCGATATCTGACTTCTATGGTCCGATCATCCACCTCATATTCTTCCCTTACATTGTTAGTAAAAGTTTCCATACCTGTAAGATAGAAGGGTGTTACTTTCATTCCTGTTGTATATGACGCATGTAGACACGATGAAGAAAGATTCAGCAATCAATCTGCTTCTCTGTTCACCTCATTTCATTCGACTTAAGTGGCATGGCGGTTTCACCTCAACCATACAGTTGTGTAGTAGTGTGTGTGTTTATGGATGCATCACATTCGTCGAATATTTTTCTAGATAATTGATCTTAATGCGATCTGTCATTCTATATTTAGCTAAATTCTTATGTTCCCCCAACCCTAACTAACACCGACCAACTAGTTTGACCTATATACTTGACCTCACAGTCATTGCACGGAATTTCATGGAATAGATTAGTTGGCTTAATTGGATCCATTAAGAAATCTACAACGGATCAGAGATACCAACTGAAGGTAAATGTGGGAGCACGCACTTGCGGCACACACAGAGAAGTACCTGCAATACTGACGGGACTCCTCTACCGTCAGTACTGACTGACAGTGATCTAGGAGTCGCAGTGAGTTGTGAATGGAAACCACGGCTCACTGTCGGTTCGTAGCAGCCTAAGTTTTAGGACCCTCTGGGCATTACGTTTACGAAAATACGTGGTGACATGTTCATCATCTTATAGACATCCTTAGTTCGGTGTAAACTAGAAAACTGTACACAGGTGGAAAATCCTTGTTTGAAAGGTGACGCAGACCTTCTAGAAAGAGTTCAGAGGACAGCCACTCATATGATCCCCGCTATGCGTGGCCTCACCTATGAAGACCGACTTAAGAAGCTGAACCTCTTCACTTTGTCCTATCACAGACAGAGAGGAGACCTAATCGATCTGTCTTCTCTTTTCCCTCCCACAAGGTCGAAACATCTCAGAGGACTTAGTAAGAGGTTAGAAAAGCAAAGAACGAACATAGTCTCTGAAGAGTATTGGTTCTTGCATGAAGTAATCAACGCCTGGAACTGACTTGCGGAAGAAGTGGTGTCTTCATCATCAACTGATTCGTTCAAAAAGGGATTGAACAAGTACAGAAATCTACTGCAAAAGAGGATTGCTAATATCCCCAATCTTACCAGATATATTCATAGATATTTGAGAAAACATGACTTAACGAACGTTTATTCCCGCAAGTAAGGTTTGGTGGTGATATATGGATGAGACATTTACCACTGTCTTCAAATTGGAACGCAATCCATTTCTCAATTACAATGATGTAGAATTTCTACAAGGGGAATCACCTATGTTGGATTTGAGAATAAAACGAAGAACTGTCTACATGAAACTTATACATTCTAACAGGTAGACGTTTAGACTTCACGTCATCTCATCCAATGTCAGTTAGTGAAAGCAGATTTAGTCTAACGTCTAAATGATACAGGCAGAAAACTGACTAGTCACTAGAAGGACTTAAACAGGAAATTGAAACGCATGAGAAGCGTTAATAATTCATAATTTCCTACTATTGCTTATTAGGTAGTCGTACAAACACATATGAAACACAATAATAACAGTAATGCAAATGTAAAAGGCTAGAAGCTGAGTGACATTGAAGCCTACAAAACTCACTTAGAAATAAACTTAGTCAACTGGCTTAAGGATCCAGTATAATAATCTAATCTATCAAATTCCATGTAATGACTGGATGTTCAAGTACACAGGTGAAACTAGCCGATTGGGGTGATTTAAATTAGGGGAACATAAGAATTTATCTAAATATAGAAGGATAGATTCAAATAGGATCAGTTATCTGAAGGAAACACCTTGGTTATTGCGATTCATGTATAAACACGCACAACCATACAATAAGGTGGGTGGGATAAAACCACTGGACTTAATTAAGTTGAATACAGTTAGGTAGAGAGAAAGATAGAGAGATTGATCATTGAATATTTGTTCATCGAGTTGACAGTATATATAACAGGAATGAAGTAACACCCATCTATATTAGAGATGTGGAAATGTTTACTACCAATGGAAGGAAATAATATGAGATGGATGATCCGACCGTAGAAATCAGATGTCTAAAGTTTAGTGATTACATGCATATGGTTACGAACGATGATACTACCTTCCGGGGATGTGATCAAATAAATGGTACTATATCACTGTGCGCTACATATCAAATAAACAAATCTAATATAATGTTTCCCATTCGAATTGTCTTGTGATGAAACTGTTAGAGGTTGGTTGTATTACTATTCCTGAACATCCAACCTGTCTTAGATAAATCAATATCCTTCATTATCAAGCTAATCACTACCTTATCACTTGTGTCTCACTAGTGACAACAAAAGACAGTTAGGAGCATTCACTAGACGATGAAAATTGCTGAGGTGAGCAGTTCTTTTTTTATTGATCTATGGTGAAAACATTCTGTTTAGCATTTTTGGTGCAAAGAAGGATTACTACAAAACCATCCAGTTCCTTTCTAAGTTCTTGGTATATTCATGTCATACTCTCCATGATGCATTGCAACCCTGAACTCTGTCACTAATTCTTCTTCTTGGTGTTGTATACATTCAAAATACTTTGTCATTAGAAAATTTGGAGTGATTTCTGAAGTTCCAATGAGATGTCATCATCGATGGGTTAAACTTGGTGGAAGTCAAGACAAATACTCAACGATGACATTCGGTAATGCTCGCTCTATGTCGTAAATTGACAGAAGTTGGAAATACGGGTCATTGGACTCCGATCAAACAGCTTAGTGGTAACGTGCTGACCGCAGAACCTGAAGGTCGAAGGTGTGTACTGCTAAGGAGTCCCATACAAGTATGAACCAGCTGCCGTCCAGTGCACTCAAGTTTCCAATGTTCCTCCAAATGATGAATAACAACTTCGAATCTAAGTGAATTATTGTGGAATCTGACAGAAAATCACTTCATAAAATATTCTTAGCTTCCATTTGACTTCTGATGTATGAAATAGGAATTTTCAATCGGTTTTGAATACATGACCAATGTTATATCGACAACCGCATAAAGAATCAATGGATATGAACGTCTAGAATTTCAATATGATGATTTTTGGATTTGTCCGGAAGGAATTCAGTACAATAAATACATATGTGACCATAATAATGGTAGAGTAACCTTCACTTGTACACTAGATTACAAGTACAAGTGCCTCCAACCAACTAACATCTACCAATGTGCACAGCGATGCTGAGCTTCCTAGATTGGTTGCCACATTGCAAATATGATCGATAGAATTTGGTCTGCACTGAGAACTAGACAACATGAAATTGGTTGCACTCCAATGACCAATCAATACAAGTACAATATAAGTTAATGACGAAGTGACACAACTCAGAAAAGAGCCAGTGTAACCTTCAGGTGGCTGGTTATAATCACGCTGTAAATCAACTTCATATATCACACAGAAACAGCTATTCAGGTTTAATAGTATTGCTGATTTTGGACGCGATGAAGACTTCGTGATCTGCAGTGTTCGAGGATGGAGATACCAAGTTGTTCCTCCGGGTAGGTGTCCGGGATTGAGATCGTGATACTTGGCACGTTGTTATGACGTAGAGCGGAAGCGGTATATCAAGGCGTGTTATGCATAGATAGGAAGCAGAAATGGGTGGGAATGATTGAATGACTGGAGGTGGAGTTTGACAGCCCACCGGATATGGAGCTGGAATGCAGCAGTTCCGGAGCACGAAACTTCGAATAGACGAAGATCTGCTGGTATTGGCTGTGAAGTTGACAAAACTATTTAGAAGAGCACTTCCCACTTTGGATAAGGACTCCCAGGCACAGCTCTGGTTGCAATGTTCACCGAAAGTGTTCTGAATACCACCTCCCAGCAGCTACGACTAGTGAAGGCAGGCCAATCCATGGAGACTAGTGAGCTAGAAAAGGTGACCAGACAGCTAGTGGGTACAGCTGCGGTGCAGACACCAGAGGTAAGTAACTGGAAAAACAAATGGGCAACCTTCAGGAGGAGGCGTATGCACTTGGAACGAATATCAACAGACAGATTGAATGCTTCGCATCTGGAAAACTGGGACAGTGGCAACGAAAGGAAAAATAAAAGGTTTCGAATGACATAATATGAGTTCTGATATTCGGACTAGACCTATACCGTAGCAGCTTTAATGCGAATAAATGATCGGGAGATCATTTGTCTAATAGACACGTACGGGCGCGGCAGTGTCGCTGATACATAAGAGTCAGTGTCCGAACATAGAACTGTATGCGCTAACAGTCCACACTGTTGGTGGACATGCATTAGAAATCGCAGGTGTATCAAATTATGTCATCAAGATCAGGAGTCGGAAAATCAGATTTCTATTCATTGTGACCATCCGTCTACGACGGACAATCCTAGGTGCTGATCTTCTGAGATAAGCGGATGCAGCCATTAACACGAGAACAGGAATAGTAGCGATGAAGTACGGGTCGTTCATCATGCAGGAAAACAGTGAAGTATCAGAGATTCAGGTGAGGCATCGAAAGCAACACAGGTAGAAGCGCTAAACACCATAAAGTTGATTAAGAAATATGACGGATTGATATCAGGAGATGGAGACCCCTATGGATACTGTGACAATGTTTAGCATGAAATATTGTACACTTTCCACTTAACAGTCATCTGCACAATATACTTCATTTCCTCCTCTTCTTCGATCTTCATACGCCCACATTGCCTCTTGCTTTTCTCTTGACAGAATATTTACCCATAGCTGATAACTGCTTATGACTTTTGCCTACTTCTCAACATATACTACTTATATCTATCCTTATAAGTAGGAACAGTAGTAGTAGTAGTAGTCTTAATGGCTTCCCTGACAAATATCGGCTGTATTGTATTAGGTTTATTTCTGGGTTTTCATGGTGTGTATATCATCCAAAGCGTACACGTGTTTCTACATAGTATGACACCATATCGTCAGAATATATCACGTTTTCAACGAATACACAACTTGAACATACAATCTGATAACATTTGAATATACCTGAGTGAAATACAATTTTTGTGTAACCTATGTTCTTTTCTTAATATGATGCTCAGAATAGAATTACAGTTTATATCATTTAGAAATTATCAGGATTGTCAAAATCAGTATAACCTTTATCTTGGAACCAAATGTGTTGTGGTAAATATATGGAAAGTTTTTTTATGTTGTTGTTATGAAAATCGCCTCAATTTGGAGTTATAATGAGGATATGCAACCTGATAAGGAGATTTTTGATGTAAAACAAATAAACGAAGAACATAATAAAGCGATAACTTGTTAGTTTGTTTACCGCGTTATCTATCCCAAACATTGAATCCATGCATATATCCAAACATGTCTACGCAAGCTTCAAACTAGTTCTCACTTCTTTTCTCTTTACATTGTTGTTGTTGTTGTTGCCTTACTGGGAATTTCTAATGACTATTTTTCTCTCTCAAGATAATTTCATGGATGGAAATTACTTTTGACTCACTTCAATATGCCGTTAATATTTGATGTTCAGGGTTCAATATCTACTCTGTGGTTGTAATTGTTGCTTTCTATGTTTGTTTTGAAGAGAATCATGCTTTTGATTATTACTTCAATTGATGATAGTTTTCTTATGGGCGAGAAATTTCTTTAAAGTCTGCTTAAATGAATAAACATTAGTTGAAATATCACCTTCAACATCTCAAACGAATTCATGTAAATTTATGGGAACACCTATTGACAATAACTTGATGAACACTGAAGAAGTATTTCATTCGAATAGTATGGGACTACTGAGCCGTGTACATATAGAACCTTTAGGTTCCGTGGCCAGCAAATTACCAATGGGCTGGGATTAAACGGTACACATTTCCTACTACTGTCATTTTACTATATAAGGCAACTCCATCTAATGTTATTTTCGAGTGCCTGTTACCCGGTTCGAATTTGAAGTTGAACTAAGTTATTGCGTTAAGAATTACCTGCAAGAAGCCTACACCATCGAGAACCAACTTATGGTCATTATTTAGACATTCATATTCAAGGTGATTTTCCATTCATTGTATAAATATTATTATTTGTCAGTTCGGTTCCTAGAGCAAAAGAGGCATTCAACAGCACATCACCATCTCAATCTCCTCTCTACACTCCTGCTCAACCTACCTCCACTAATACCCATAACCAAACATTTATTCCTCACACAATATCCTCCATATCATCCTCCACACACACACAACTACTCGTTCCACACACACACACACACACACACACATACACACCATCCACCCAACAACATGACCTGACACATGATGTACCAAAACCGTATTCTCACTGTATGTCCAATACAATACAACACAATCCATATACACTCTCTTCTACTGCATAGTTGTTGGGCGACCCCCTGGTTCGTTGGTTGCTTCGTTGCCAGCCACACTTCCCTGTGGCTCATTATTTCTGACCACCTGATCTCATCTTCAGTATCGAGTGAGCGTAGGTGATAGCTGTTCATCATGTATGTCTCCTGTATATCTGTATGTGCATTGGAAATGCATTCACTGACACGCGAACTCCTCAACCATCACATGGAAGCAGTGACATGCATGACTGAATTAGTCTTGAGAATCTGGATGTTGTTCAGGCTTTATTGTGAGTGCAGTGCAGTGATGTGCTGTGCTGTACTGTGCTGTGTTGTGTTGTGTTGTCTTTCAAATTCTGGCTTTGACATGCTCATCTGTGCCTGTACAGCCTGCAGTTGAAACGATGCTGTCTAGATGGGTAGGTGAAAGAAGCAACTTCCTTCAAATTTCTCCTGTTGATGCATATTAATGCTTGTTGTTGTTGTTGTTTGCGTATCTTCATCAACTCTGTCTTCTCTACGTTCACCTGAAGGAAGTCTCATCTTCTCTACCCTGCCTCAAACCGACTCCTCTGCCAACGTGTTAGTTTTAGTCTGTACATCTTCGACTTTGTGTGCGACATTACACATTAAACACAGAAATCACCAGTCGCCAAATCCAAATCGTCTAGAGTCTTTTCATCGGTCAAACAGTGAGCGTATGCTCATCTCCTCACTCGTCACAGTTTGTTGCATGATCCAGTCGAGTCGAGTCGAGTCGAGTCAAGTCAAGTCAAGTCAACCACAATCAGGAAGATGATCGTTGGTAGAAGGTCACTTTGTCTTGTTTTACTCGTGTCTTCACTTCACTTCACTTCACTTCAAAGGCATCATTTAGCTTTCCACTGTGAATTAGTTGACATGTAGCATCCTCATATAGCATGAAGCTGCTGTTGAATTAGGTTGATAAAGGTTTGCAGGACTAAAACTGCAGTGTTGAAGCAGCTTCCAAATTACTTCTCGGTCGAGAAAAGTTTGAACAAAGCATTAAGCACAAAATGTACGGACCAATAAAATCTTACCATTTCACTCAGACGTTAAATACAGTCCAAAGTTAGACTGATTATGAATACACAAGCCTGAAGTTTGTGTTCAAAAGAGATGCGTTCATACATCTGTAATTTTGCCTTGGTCATGATCTCCTAAAGTTATTTCCTTCACTACTTCATTTATTTAGCATAATCCTATTGACGATTTTTGATGACCTTGACTCGACCTTCGAGCCGTTGCGACCTTGAGGATTTAAAATTATTGATTGATCATATCTTTCATTTCTGTACAGCTTGATTTATAGACACATATGTACTGTTGTTGTTCATACTTAGCTGCGTCTATACAGTGCACACTTTGTAGACACATAGTACTGAAAACACTCACAATTGTACATTATTATTTTCTTTGATAAGCAGCGTTGGGAGATAAATAAGTCGTTTTGACGAGTGACTTTAGGCGTCAGCCTAGTAACGACTAAAATAACCAATTAAGGTTTTGCTTTTCATTTCGATTTGAGAAAGATATTTGTTTCATCAAAGGCAGAGTTTTAACTGGTTAATTCAGTAATCATCATTTTGACTATCTGAGAAAGTAGACATAGGGTTTGGTAGACTGGTGTCTATACTAAGTGGTGGCTGAATATGGAATAAAAATTTGGAAGGAGATTGAATTCGAGCCAGCTACCACTGGCTTTCTGGTCCGATACTCTACCAACTGAGCTAACAGGTCCGACTGCTGACCAAATTTTTACTTCACTTCAATCATAAGTAGGGTTTTGACTGACTACTGTGTGAATTCGTAACGCCTTACCACTGCTTGATCGTACTCACGCTGGCTGCCTAGTGGTCGCTGGTTCGAATCCCGCACTGGCTCATTCAATCCCTTTCCCTCTCTCTAAGTCTGATTATATTGGACTTGAGTACAGTGGCTTTATCCCACCCTATTGTGTGGTGGTATGTGTGTGTGCGTGTGTTTACGGATGCATTGCAATAGCCGAGTACTCTTCTAGATTATTGATTTGATTCAGGTCAAATATTCTACTATTTAGCTAAATTTTTATGTTCCCCTAATCTAATTACGACCAACTAGTTTGACTTAGTGGAACATAAGGCTTCAGTAGCACATCACCATTTCACTTTCTTTTCTCCAGTCTAGCTTCACCACTGCCCATAAGCTTTCATTTCTTCCTCACAAGATCTCCGATTTTTCTAAATGAACTTGAATTGTGGTCTATCACCAACTTCTTTGAAGGCTTTCAACTTGATTTTGAAGGTAGTTTCCTTGCACTAGATAGTGAGTGGTGTGAACCTTCATCTGCTTCCCTTCTTGATCTGATCTTGTGTCCAGTAAACTGTGTCTCTACTTTCTTCAGACTGAAATGAAGTGGATCAGATTTCTAGTGTGTCCATCTTGTGAGATGTATGTCACTTTGTGAATATCTTGATGTTTGAACACACTGCCTTCAATCAGAAAACCAATAAATACGCAAAAATCTGCAAACAGTTCTCCATTCTCATTCATTTTACTGAGTGCATCTCGACCCCTTGATGAGTTCTTTTCCTGTGTTGCCCCCTCTCAGTTTGCCACTGAACATGTCAACCATTAGAATTTTGAAATCGCCAACTGGGGTGCGGTCTTGTCTAGTACTGATTGCAGTTGTCTGTAGAATTTCTCCTCCTTCCTTTGATCTGCATTATTTGCAGGTGCATAGCGTAGTATTGAATAATTGTGACTTTCCTTTCTTTTGAGTTGGATCTTGATGTCATGATCCTGCTGGAGGAGATTGGTTTCCATTGCCTGAGAGCTTTCGATGCTCTTAAAGACATCATGATAGTCACTCCAAAACTCAGTATGCTCGTGATTGTCGTCTACGTGACAATATCGAAGTAGCTTATTGACTCTCCAGTTAACAGTTTGGGAGTTTACTTCCATTTGATTACGGAGATTTCAATCATTTCCATGCCATACCTCCTCATTTCTTTTGCAATCTGGGCAACCTTAGTAGGTTCATACATGTTGCGGTCATTCCATGTCCCCATTGTTACTTCCACTTTCATCGAGAGAAGACACATCGGTCAATTAGCTTCCCGAAGGCTTTCACCAACTGGCGCCATTTCGTCTCCCCGATTCCAGCGAGGAATAAGTTTAATTTTATGTTTAGATTTTCTTTATGCTTTGAAGTTTCTGTAGCGGTTGGATTGGTTTTCTGGGGTAGGGTTTTTAGCCCTATGCTCAGCACAACCTTCCCTTTTTATCAGGGCGTAGGATCGGCTAGTAAACTAGGCGAGGTCACTCAGCATCAATATTACACCCTATTAGAAACCATTCAAATTCGATTCCTACGCGTTGGAGCTAAGAGTTAATGATCTGCACATGGAAGAAATGATTAGTTTCAATGTTAGAAGTCCTTATACTAAAATATCAATCATTATGGCACTATAAGTAGTCAAAAATCAACTAAATATGGATTGAGAACTTACTCATAGGGCTCAGTTATCGGTTGATGTTTCATATCGGGCGTACAGTTCTACCTGACGTCCTCAGTCTTTAAGCTTCGGGACAAAATATGCAGACAAACACAAGGTGAAGCGACTGAATAAGCGATATCTCCAATCTTACCAGATATATTCACGGATAGTTGGGAAAACATTGCCAAACAAATGTTTAATCCTACACCTGAGGTTTTGTGGCATTATTCACATTTGTTTGAACTGAACTGGCTTACACCATCAAATATACACGCCATTGATCAGGTATATAAATGTCGTCAACTGTCTTTGACGCCCAGTCAACTCTGACGGCGGACTGGTTGAAATCCAGTGGAGTCGTACAGAGTTTCAGCGTCTTTGCATAACAAAGCTGGACCATTCATCACTGACGTACGAACTACATTCAGTTTTCCAGGATTCCAGGACAAACACTAGTATGTTTCGTAACAACACAATGCAATCAATGTACCAAGCCACTTTTGTTATGTAACGGTACAGTTGCACCATTTGTTGGAAAACAGATAGTGTACTAACCGGCACACATTTGATCACAGCTTACCCCGTCGATTTCTATGGTTACACGAATCGTGGTATTATTGTGGATCGGTTTTGGATAGGGTATGCATTTCACTTTAACTAAGAGCTTATCACATTTGTCAGTTTCTCACAATTTTACGTTTCCATCTGGTTGATTCACCCATGCAATGAGTCACGCGATTCAACCCTTTCAAGCATATCCGTAT